GGGAGCATGATCTAAGTGGAGGACATAGCTACCACAGTCTAGATTTATATTCACTCTTTTACTTATCAATATTCTTATTCTTGTAAATAGGTAAAAATACTTTATCTTTTTACTTATTAAGAGACAAAAAGGAGAATACACATGTAAATAGATTTAAAAGCATTCTTAGAGGTATTAATATAATGCTTTAATATCTTTACAAAAAATAAATCATTAAATAATTTTTTTGAGATAGTGTCTCACTTTGTCACCCAGGTATAAAATAATTTTTAGTATAGTTTTTTTCTCATTATTAACAAAGATATTTAAAGAAATGTTAATTGTGCACATGGTTTTAGTAGAAATTTAATTTGTTGATATAATTAACAAGGTACATGCAACTGATTCTTATTAGAACAAATATTTAATTGACACATATTGAGTTTCCACTATAAAAGACATTGTACTGATATTGTGGAAATATTGTAAAAGGTCATTAAAATCATTGCTCTTCTAGGCAGTGAATTCATATTGTAGGGGCACCTTTTAGATAAAAAAACTTCCTGAAGATACTATTTTTAAAAATAGATTGGAGGGATGGATTAGGTGACTTATATGGATCTTGTCCAGCTCACATATTCTGTTAATCATATGAATTAACCATTGGGACAGCAAAAATATCAATCATTCTTTAATATATCTCTGTACCATTTGATACTTTAGGAAAATTAATATGTTTATATTCGCTATACATAATGAAGATGGACATTGTCAATTTCAACCTTAGATTAATTAAATGTGATCATTTCTGTGAAGACAGCCTTCCTATTTTCCTAAATAATCACTAATTTTAGGAGCATAGAAATCACTCAAAACAAAGAAAAAGACCTTGAGAACAGTGAAAATATATTGCTGTTGTCAATTAGGAAACCACATGTTTTATACTGATGCTGAACTGTTATTCTGTAAACTCCCTAGGGAGCTTCTCCACAACGTTTGGAATTCATAACTACATGCAACCCAAACAGAAAATCTATAGCTTGCCCAGGACGATATTCCTGATGCTGTAATCCTATCACATGTGACTCACATGTAATGGGGAGGTGATTCACAGTGTAGTAAATCAAAGCAGGGCACTTAGCAACTACAAATCTCCACATCTCTGGGAAGGCTATCTGGTGTTCAGAATACCTTGGAATGGGTATTCTGCAAGGGTATATGAATGGGTATATCAGCAAGATCAGGTAACATCTAACTAACCCAAGACCATTTGTCAGAAACAGACTCTATCCAAGACAGAGCTCATCACAATTCAGTAAAGATTTACCGACAGAGGTGGGGTTAAATTAAATTGTTAATTGGTAAAGGTGTTGAGAAACTCACCACCTTGCTTCTTAAAAGCTTCAACAACTTCCAAGAGTAGTTACCTAATCTTTGAAATGAGAAAGAAACTCCAACTGGGCCTTCCTCTGGTTTTGCATTCCAGTTTTCAAGCTCCTCCTTTCCTAATGCCTCAGCTTTTTTCAGGTAAGAATCCTTAGTATTTCCGCATTTGTGGTAGTTGTGAGTATCTTTCTGAGTGCCTGGGAGATTACATTTCTGGAGAAGAAAACAGGAAGGCCTAGACTATCTTTAGGAGGCGTAGAGTGTTATTGTATAGGCACTCAGGGAATTTTTATGGAAGAAAGGGAGAAAAGAAGGAGGAAATGGAGAAAGCAAAAGAGGAAAAAAAGGAGAAAAAACAGGAGGAAGGTGGGAAGGCCAGTTAGGCAGGTCATCTTGTCTGCTTTGCAGTCCTCATCCAGCAAGATGAGAGCAGAAACTGCGCAAGAATAAAACAAAAGATCTGCCTGAGGAAAAGCTATGCAAATACCTTAAAAGCTTTAAAGGATGAAAACGTTGCACTACTCTCCTCTACAGCACAACTTCAGGTTAAACCAGTCAAGCCTTCTTCCTTCGGTCTTTCTGTCCCTTCCCTTTCCCTTCTCTGCAGGTGGCTTTATCTGGAGGATTTCCAGGAAGGCTGGAGACAGGCATCTCTAATTTGGGTTCTGCCTCCTAGGAGCCAGAGGAGAGTTGGCAACGTCCACTCTGGGTTTACCCTGCAGTTTCCTCACTCCACGAAGTCCTAATCTCTGCAGCTGCAGTGGTTTTGGAGGAGGATAGATAGGGAGAAAAGTGGCAATGTAACTGCAGTGTCTTTGAAGGCTGGATTCCCTGAAGAATTTTGGGGAACAGAGCAGGGAAAGGATGGAAATGGGCCCTGGGCAGTTCTCAAACAGAAACTGCATATTCTGATACGCTAGTGCTTCCCCCAAACGCCAAGGATTCGAAAGAAATTGACTGAGATGCAGAGGAGGCCAGAAAAGCCAGACTAAACATCTAATGAGGTGGGGATAGTAAAGGTGAGGGGGCAATAAAAAAGAGAGAGAAAGAGACCTTACAAAGACAAAGAGAGGCAAGGAAGAGAAATGAAGTGGTATAAAAAGGGACCCCTAGAGACAATCTCAAAAGATGTGCTGGAGAGCAGACAGTTATTTATTTGAAGTCTGCAGCAGTGTCACTGAGACTGCTGAAAATGAAGGAGAGAAGGAAACATTTACACTCAACATTACTTTTTAATTGTTTATTCCATAGACTAGAACTTAATTGACTTTTCTCTAGATCCATGGTTCTGGGCCTCAGTTTCCTCATCTACAAAGCAAGGGGTTTGGACTAGATACCTTACAGGGTCTCTACCTAACTTGGTCCTCTCTGTCAACCTACGAGCCAGGAACTCCAAGACCAAGGATTTATTAGTTTTGATACCCAATTCCCCCCTTTTTCTTCTACCATCCCTCTTTATCAATGCAGTGCCAACACCTGCACCATTCATTGAACTGATGCCAACGCTCAGTGATGACAAGGAATATGGCTCAACTGTGACAAATGATTAGTCCTTCTGCCCTGGAGTAAGGAAAGAAGGAATAGACAAGGCAGTATGATTTATACTTTGGATTTCCAATGAGAGGTTCTTCTCGAATTTTCGGTTACAAATTTCATGCATTTAAATAAATTATAAATTCCTTTGAGGGGTTCCAAGTGGTTGGACTGATCAAAGGCCAAAGAGCCGTATTTGATGGGCCCCATACCTGATTTGAGGGAAAATTTATTTCATTTCATCCCCAAAATTGGATTTGCTTATTTCATGGAAATCCAGCACGCACTAGTCATGCTTTTTTCTCATCTTTCTGCCTCCCATTCTGCCAACCTGCTTCAGTGCAGCATTTTCTGGGGTTATTAAACACCCAAGGCTTAATGAGAGTGCATTCATGAGTAAGTTCTTCAATGATGCAGGATCACCCCCTACTCCCCACCCCCCACACACACAAACACACGTAGGCAGTTTAAATGATAGTGGGGGTAAAATGTGTTTTCACAAGAGTTTCATTTTAAATTTGTCTCAACCTGAAATTCCTTTAGAAATTAAAATAGATATTAATACATAGAAATAAAACTCCCCAGCTTCTCTTGCCTTCAAGTGGAAAGTGATACACAAATAGTATGTACTTAGTGTTTTCCACACCCACCAACAATTCTATTTTATTTTAGTTTCCAAAATATGGACAGGAGGGCAACTCTAGAAAAATGGATTCCCACTCTGGCATCTCACAGGGCACTGATCAGGCAATGCTAAGCACTCATCATTTCCACCACACAGGGAGCATCAGCCTCTCCTCGCTCCTTCCCCATACACATTCTCGTACCCCTGAGGGTATTCAGCATTCTGATTTCCACTCGGGGTTTGACCTTGCAAAGACCCTTCCTTCTTCCAGTTTCTGGGCAAGGAACAACCCATTTTAACTTAAAACACAAAAAGACCTTTTATCCTTTAAAGAAATACTACCGAATGTAACACACCTTGATTTACATTTTTTAACCCCAGATTCCGGATGGCGAACGCGGAATGCAAAGGCAGGTAACTAGTTTGGGTCTGACAGTCCCCATTCAGCGACCGAATCTGTGACTCCGTTCAAAATCGACAGTGCGGTAGAGCATCTTTCCCTTTTCTGCCCATTCACCATTGTGACGAAAAATCAAAAACGAAAAAATTATCTACTCATTTCTGAATACTGAGAGAAATGTGCTCATTTAGCTCCTGACTCCGTGGATCTTAAACACTAACATCCCGCTCAGAGATCAACCATGATTTCCATACCAATCTCATCCACTCAGTTTTACTTAGCAAACACCTTTGCTGCCCTTCCACGGTGAGAAAAATGGTGCACCAATCCCACGGATGACAGGTTGCTACTCGACTGCACCCGCTCAATAGTTTTATCAGCAACCGGAAAACTTCACAATCGGTCAATTAGCTACTTAAATCTGTCTAAGACAAACTAAGAAAGCATCTCAGTTTCACCTGTCTTAAATCTAGTCTAAGACAATCCCCCAAACACGCCGCATATAAACACTCCCCCTTCCCCCACCCACAATATTCCAAAAGATCCCCCATGGACTAACAGCACATTCAGATCGCCAGCATTAAGCAAGGCAATTGTCACCATGCATTTAGACGCATCTATGCAAAGCAAAGTATGTGACAATAGCCAAAGCATCTCTCTGACAGTTGGTTGCATTACACATGCAGAAATGCAACGAAGATTGTATTTTCCACTTACAGTTATAGCGCTGCGCACGGTCACTTAACGAAAATGATAAAACTCAACAGTTCTTTTTAAAAATATATATTTAATTCGGGTAAACGCTTAAGCGTGTGTGGTTCTCTCTCGCTCTCTTTTTCTCCGGAGCTCTGGGCTGCTTAAATCCCTCTTGGATAGCGCCTAGCAAGCCCAGCCGCTGCCGCAACACGCTCGGGTAAATCTCTGCTGCAGATTGGGAATCCCATAGAAAATCTAGGGTCCCTGGAGCTGGATGCGCAGGCGCGCGAGCCTCCGCCTCTCCAGGCACCCCCTCCCCTTTCCTCTCTTCCCTCCTCCCTCAGCTCCGCAGCCCCAGCTAGGAGAACTCGGGAGCCTGTGACCAAAAGCCGCCTGGCTATGGCGCATGCTCAGTCGGAGGGGCTCGGAGTTTCCGCGGGTGGATTCCACGTCTCCAGATTTTAGCAGAAACTCAAAAGGAAAGTAGATAGGAAAAGGGAGTCCGACTATCCGAGCAACCTGCACCTGGACTGGCGCGAGGGAGTGCGGGTTGGGCTCGCCACGCCCCGCGGTTACCGAACCTGGTGGCTGAAGGCCGAGGGCAGAGATGGAACACGTGCAGCCGCTTTTCCCGCTGCTCTCTGTCCTAGCCGGCCCCCGGCCCACCCTTTGTCAGGCTGTAAGGTGAAGGAGAAAACTGCAGAAATCTCCGAAGGAAGACTTCCCAGCAAGCTGTGAGCTCGTCTACCTGGCTTACTGAAGGAACGGTTATGGTGGTCATTTTGTCATGGGCCATTTCATCCGAGGGTCTTCTGCAGGAGTATTGGGAGCCGGTTCCTCCAGCACCCAGTGCCCCGGACAGTCTCAGTCCAGAACGGCGTTGGAAAAATGTGTGTTAAAAGGAGATGGGATCCGAGGCTTCTTGCCCTGTGTACCCTGAGGCAAGCGCATTCTGTATGCACTTAAGTGTTTTAAAAATATGCTTTGCATCTGGGGTGGGAGGGGGTGGGTGAAAGGGCGGGAATGAACCATTTTGCGAATCCACGTTTAAGGGCTCTGATTAGGCCATGGTATAAAGCCCCGTTTGTGTCCTTGAACAACTAACAGGTTTGCCAGTCCTCCCCCGGCTCCCCATTGGCCTGCCCCAAAGCCTAGAAGGCTTGGCAAGGAGTAGTGCCCAATAAATGTTTGGTCGGTCGCTTCCCTACCAGAAAAGCAGGGAGAATTCCCAGGTGTTCCCAACCAGACCAGTTTCCTCAAGTGTGTATGTTGAACCTGCACTCATTCAACAATTATTCACTGAAGACTTTACAAAACTATTAGAAACTCTTTCATACTTTGGGAATAAGTGCGGTTAACAAAACCCCCCTCCTGGGCTTTACATTCAGGTGGGAGTTTTATTTTCAAGGGAGGGAAGTTTTGGTGGCGCGATGAAGTTCGACGTTCTCCTTAAAGCAGAGCGCTGTACAATTTGCACAGCGTCTTCACACACCTTATCACGTTCAGGAAAACTATAGAGTTGACCTACCCTTCGGTGCTGGGGGACACCAAGATCGTCTCCCGTGGCAAATGAGCTCTAAATTGACAAATCTCCAGCTGCTCCTGGTTCCAAGTCGAGGAGTCCAGCTTTGAACAAACTTGAGACTACTTAAGTGGGCACCAGGAGAAACTCCGCCAGACAAGTCTGTGGCTGCCGACATGCTAAGTGAAGGCCTCAGGCAGTGACGCCTAAGCCTCATTCACTGCCAACCTGGCCAGCCCAGAACCCAGGAACTGGCTTCCCGGGAGGGACGCCTAGGGGAGGTTGCGCCGAGAAGGGACGCGCTCTCGGGACTCCCGGGACACCGCCCGCGGCTCTTCCCTCACTGCAGGGCTCTTCCGCCGGTGCTGGTGACCGCGGAAACCCGGAGCGCGGAGTCGCGCGGACCAGGGCGCGCGGCCCAGGGCGCGCGGCCCCGGCGCGCTGCGGCAGCCGAGGAGGTTTAGAATCTGGCGGGCTCCAGCCCTTGGCTCTGGAGCCGCAGTGCGCACGGCGCTGCGGGACTCCCGGGCGCGCTGGACTGCTCCTGTTTCCTGGGACCGGCGGGGGGAGTCCGTTCTGAATAAGTCACTTCTTCTTTTTAGCTAGAAAAACGACCTTCAAGGCTTTCAAAATCTCGTCTTTGGTCGATTTCCCCTACTACAGCATTTTACGCTGGGTTCTCTGGTTTCTCTCTCGAGAGCAGCCTCCGCACTGTAATCTGTCTGCATCAACCCAAAGGGTCATGATGCCATTTCTCCGCTTTAACGAGATGTACCTATTTATTGCACCCTGGAGGTCTCTTTCGTGGCGGCGTTCGATTTTAGATAACTTACTTGCAACTTGTGTTTAGGAAAAAATGTACACTGATACTTTAAACCATGCTCTGTTGTAGGGTACGATTGACATCGATGCTTGCGCTTTTGTAAAGCAGCTTTGTCTAAGTGGGCGGGCAGATTTTTAAAGTTCCATTTGCACTGCAGCGCTGTTTGCGTCCTAAATGCGATATTGTAATGTTTAATATCCAGCTATTATGTAGCTTTTTCTTTTTCAGCTTCTAATATTTTGTTGTGGTTTAATTGTTTTGGCTTGCCTTTTAGTCCAGTTGTATATACGAAGTCACAGTAAGAAAGCCAATTCTAAGACTCCTAAGGGAATTGTCGTTTAAATTACAGAAGGCAAATCCCCTCTTTAGGATGGGAGAATGTACTTGAAGGGAGGAAAGTGGGAGGGTCCCTAAGAAGTGAGGGAGCCAGCTGTTCCTCCTTCAGGCATTTGCTGATGGCACTGGTGATCACAAAAAGGGAGATTGCGCTGCCGGGCGCTCCTGTTGTAGAGGGACTGGAGCACTGCCCCATGCTGAGTGAAGAATGCCATCAGCTTTACCAGTTGTCCCGTTACCTAAGGCCAGGTCCCCAACTCTACAACTTTCCCACACTGGATTTTTTTTGTGGGGGGGGTGGGGGGTATAGAGGAGGAGGAGGAAGGTGCTGTAGGTAGGGGCTTGTTTCTTTCTTCCTGTGTATCTGGTGGAATCCTAAATTAACCAGAAATAACTGAAGATCTATTTTTCTTCCTTCAGTTGCAAATTATGTTCTTTATAGAAATTTCTAGCCTTACTTCCACCTTATTTCTTTCCAGATTCAAACAAACAAATGAACAAACAAAACCAACAATAACTTTTCAGGTGTACAACACTCCATATAATATTCCCACTAGCTTTGTGACGTGGACGAATTGAAAATGGAGAATGATAGTAAAAGTGTGAAATGCTAATAGTGTAACAGGTCTAAGCTCGTAGTCCTGGGAACTCATGGTAATATTATTTATTAGAAATATTTGTGTGTAAAATGTATGAGCCAAGAAGGGTGGAACTTAAGGCATGGGGATATTTTTTTTAAAATTGGAAGAAAAATTGAAAGTCATTATTAGAAAATGAAAAGAGACAGGAACTGAACAATGGATTTATACTTGTTTATTCTTAAAGAATAATGATAGTAATTTACTTCTATGGATAGCATATCCTTATTCCAAAAGCAAAGGGTATTAATCATTACAGAAAATATGTGTTATGTAAGATAATTATGTTACGTAAGTTTTTGGGTTTTTTTTGTTTGTTTTTTTGTGTTTTTTTGAGAGAGAGAGAGAGACAGGGATCTCTCTCTGTTGCCCAGGCTGGAGTGCAGTGGCAGGATCATAGCTTATTGTGTAGCCTCAAACTCCTGGGCTCAAGTGATCCTCCCGACTCAGCTTCCCAAGTAGCTGGTACTACAGACACACCACCACGCTTGGCTCATTTTATTACATTTTTGTAGAAACGGACGTCTTGCCATGTTGTCCAGGCTGGTCTGAAACTCTTGGTCTTAAGCAGTCCTCCTGCTTTGGCCTCCCAAAGTGCTGAGATTATAGGCAAGAGCCATCTTTTCCAGTCCTATTCTGACTTTTTAAATCTTTTTTTTTTTTTTTTGAAAGATGTAGATAGACCAACAAAATAAAATAACTTCCCTAACGTCAAATAAGAAGTATCTCTTAGAATACAGCCCTACAGCATTTTTTTTCTGACACATAGAATATTTCATTGTATATGTCTGTGCCCCTTCTACATGTTTTTCTAAAATACTGAAAAAAATGCAAGACCATGATGCAGCGATTCCCATGCAGTTAATGGGCAAGTTTTAGGCATCCTTCTGCAGAGAAGGGAATAGAAACTCTAGTTTTAATGAACTTGATTGATCATGTCTCTCAGTCCTCCTCTGATTTCACTCTGTAATCCATGACTGGATCTAAATTCAGTCTGAAAGATCACTCTGTGTCTATAGACACTAATTTCCTTAAAATTTGGACAATCCACAATAAAAATTGCATAAGGCCCTGCCGGATGAATCACCATGAAAGATTTGAGTTTCCTGGAAGTTTCTTAGGGCCTCAGAAATAGTCATAGCAAATACAGCTAGTGTGCAGTCTCAAGAATAGAAAATACTTTATTCCATTTTCTCTTCTACTATTTGGCCTGACATATAGATTCATAGCAGTGCTCTGAAGCTGGAAATTTTTACCATTATCATTAGTGGCAACACTCCATAAATGATGATAATAGAATTGCACTGTGCATGAGACCTGTTTTTTTTCATTAATGACTTTTTAGGTGTCTTTATTGCTAGGCTATACTCTTTTTCAGTTGTGTGAATAGCCATTGCAGATAATATCATGGATCCATTTTGGGGGACCTTGGTAGTTGGAAACCATTGGGTTCAGAAGGGTCTTCAAAAACCCTTCTTGCCTAAAGCAGATCTTACTGACGTGTTTCTCCCTTTAATCTGTGTTTTCTTTAATCTAGAGTTTTTAATTAAACTCTCAACCTCAACAGGGAATCTTAGCATAAAATTTAAGAGAAAATACAAATAGTGATTTTTATGCCCCCTCAGAGACAACCAACTAAAACAAACCCACATTTTTTTTAACCAAATAGTTTAAAATTTTTATCCTGCCTGAAGGAGGAAAGAAACAGTGGGATCCCTCATTTATTTATTTGTATTCTTACCGCATATATCCTTTAGAGTTCATTTTATCATTCCTAAGGCTGTGTTAAAGAAGGGAAAGAAGGATCACTGGTGTTCTTAAATCCAGACATTCACCCTACTCTCCACTTTCTCCTTTAAAACTACCCATAGAGCATCTTCATGTTAATTTGTTACAGATGCCTCAAACTCAACGTCTCCAAATGATTTTCTCCCCTGCCCCTCTGCCTCCTTGGATCTGTTCTTCCCCCTGTGCTGCCTAGCACTTTGACGATGCCCACTATCAACCTAGTCCTCTAAATTAGAACTTTGGATGTTATCTCCGGCTTCTCCCTTTCTCTAATTCCCCATCACGTCATTAACTGAATCCTGTGAATTCCATTTTCTGAATGTCTTACAAATTCATTCTTCACTGCCACTGTATTAGTTCAGCCTCTCATCATCTCACTCTTGGAACACGTGTTCTTTCTCATTCTCCTAACTGTTGCAAATAAAATCGCCTCACTTCCTTGAATAAAATCATTAACTGGTTTCTCACTTTAAACAATATAAATTAATATTCCTTAGCACAGCATGCAAGATCATTTTCTGTCTCTTGAGAGCCCCATCTCTTGCCACATCTTTTTAGTGCTCTATGCTCAACCATTCTGTGTTACCTGCAGTTTACCAATTATGTAATAATGTTTCACTTCTCCGTACTTGTCCATATACTCTTTCCCTTTTTCTGGAAACTCATCCTTCCCTTGTCTTGCCTTTAAGGGTCTTATTAATCCTTCAAATTCAGTCAAAAAATTATTTACCAGCAGAAGAATCTTTTCCTGCCACATAGCAGACAGTTTACAGAATTGTTGTGAAGATTAACCAAGATAGTATATATGAAAATACTTAACTAGGAAGGTCTATTTAAACATAAGATACTATATAATGACAATACATCTATTAATTATTAAATAAAAGCTAATGCCTGCTTTTCATTTCAAAAGGCAAAATAATGTTACATTGATATGAGAAAAAACTCTCAAATCATTTTGATTGCATTTAAGGTTCTTAACTGTGATATGAAGAAACTTCGTCATTTTTAAGCATGAGTGTCTTCCACCTTGATTAAATTATTATCATGCAAATAATCTGCAAAGTATTTAAAAGCATTTATTAACTAAGTGATTTTTCAAGGACTTTTATTCAGTTATTCTTGTTTGTTTGTTTTTCTGGACATTAGGCATAAATTACAAATATAAAACTATATTAAAGTATCTTCTATTTTATAGCTTTTAAATGATTTTACTATTCTTATGTTATTTGATTCACAAACAGAGAGCATTACCCCCATTTCATAGGTGAGATCAACTCCTTAGAAAGGCCATATTACTGAACATTATGAACCTGATCAAAAAAAAAAAAAAAAGAAGAAGAAGAGAAAGGCCATATTGTAATGCTTTCTAAAAAGTGAAGTGGTATAATGTGACGAAACTAGGTAGGGGCAACCCAGTAATGTAATACTAGTTATTCAGCAACTACTACCCTCCGATGCTGAGAAAAATGCGCTACTAGTTTCTATCTTTCCGAGTTTCAGGTTCTTGCTTGGGATGACAAGAACATGCAGTAATAGATTATAATTTAGGAAGAAGATGAATTACCAATACATACACTACTAGAGGAGAAAACCAAAAATATTTGGCTTACTTTGTTTTCCTTGATTAGGAAACCAGAGTATATAAAAACAAAAAGTCAAATAGTGTTGGTTATTCCACTACTAGTTCATAGTCTAAAATACCATGGAAAATTTTGCACTAAAATTAAAAATTATATACTTACTAAAGCATTTTATTTTTTATTTTTTTCTGAGACGGAGTCTCGCTGTCTCCCAGGCTGGAGGGCAGTGGTGCGATCTCGGCTCACTGCAAGCTCCGCCTCCCGAGTTCACGCCATGCTCCTGCCTCAGCCTCCAGAGCAGCTGGGACTACAGGCGCCCGCCAGCACGCCCGGCTAATTTTTTGTATTTTTAGTAGAGACGGGGTTTCACTGTGTTAGCCAGGATAGTCTCGATCTCCTGACCTCATGATCCACCCGCCTCGGCCTCCCAAAATGCTGGAATTACAGGCGTGAGCCACCGCACCCGGCTGCATTTTAAAAATTTGTACATTTTACCACAAAACTCAGAGGCATCAAGGAATTCATTTTTATTCATGTTGCTTGAAATATAACAAAGAAGGAAGAAATTCTATTGGAAAATCCTATGGAGTAATATTTCCGAGGCTATCTACTGATATTTGGTGATAGAGATGTGGTTTACTGTCTCATTTCATACTGGTTTGGTGTATTTTGGATTTTAATGAAAGAAAATTAAAGTGAAATCAGTAAAACGTCATTTATAATTAGAGCATATTCAGTTTTCTACACTGTACATAAATAGAATTTCCTTGTTTCTTTCTTTTGTTTTTTTTCTTGTTGTTGTTGAGACAGGTTGTCACTTTGTTGCCCAAGTGGCCAGAGTGCAGTGGTCCAATCATAGCTCACTGCAGCCTCAAACTCCTGGCCTCAAGTGATCCTCCTGCTTCAGCCTCCCAAGTAGCTAGCACTAAGGCATGCACCCCTATGCCTAACTAATTTTTTAAATTTTTTGTAGAGATGGAATCTGGCTAGGTTGACCAGATTATTCTTGAACTCCTGGCCCCAAGCAATCCTCCTGCTTTCACCTCCCAATGTGCTGGGATTACACATACATGATTTTATTTGAAAACAAAATTTCATTGCTAATTTTTAATGTTTAAATCACAGAGGGACTAGAAGAGTCATAACTAAGGGTAAAGAGAATTGGAAGAAAAGTTTTTACAGTCACATTAGAAGAAATAAACACTTGAACTAGAAAAGTAGCAGTGGAGATGGAAAGTGTATGAATTTGATATTGTTAGAGTAGGATCAACAAAATTTGATAGTTGATTATGTGTATCAGAGAAGGTTAAGTCAAATGCAATTATAAGATTTGGAACTGGAACATTGGGAAAACGGTATTGATTTTAGTAAAAACAGAAGTGCAAGTTTGGAGAAGAGGAGAGCAAGAGGATTGACTTAACTGCTAGACGTGTTTCCTGCATTTGAAAGGCTGTTGGCACATATAGGTGGCGAAGTCCAGCAGACCTCAAGAAATTGCAGGTATGGAACTTGGGTGGGAGGTCTGCACTAGAAATATAGAATTGGTGGTTATTCATGTACAGGTAATGGCTGTAGCCAGAGAAGAGATTTGATTGACAAAGGAGGAGTTTAGAGAGAAGAGACAACAAGAGTAAAACTTAAAGAACCACCAAAGTTTAGAAAAAAGGAATTTGGAAGAGTTGATTGTGCACTTGTTATTCTCCCTACATATTTGTTTGCAAATTCCTAGAAAGTAGTAACAGTTTTACTGATTTTAGTATAGTCAAACAGCACTTAGAATATTGTCTGTAAGAAAGTATTTGCAAGATTAAAATGACGATGTGTATTTAACCCAGATAAAGTAGGACATGGTCTGTTAATAACAAAAATAGTAATTTGTTTCAAATATATGCATGTTGGTTAAATGGTTTTAGAAAATTTTAATATTTAATTAAATTGATTAATAACTTTTCATATACACACATACATATGAACATATATGTGTTTATCATTATCTGTCTATCTAACTTTTTATTTTCATATTTGGAGTCTGTAGTAGATATTTTTGGAGAAGTATGCCTAGCCCACAAGTCAACAGTTCCGTTGCCTCCAAGAGAGTCTAAAGAAACAGGTTCCTGACTGCTGTTTGTTCTGAACACTAGAACCTAGCTAGACCAATTGGGTTTTTTTCTTATGAATTTTTTTTTTCCTGAGGTGGGGGTCTCGTTATGTTGCCCAGGCTAGTCCCAAACTCATACAAAATGACTGATATCCTTATAAGAGAAAAAAACACAGAGACCCAGAAAGACACAGGCAGGGAGAATGCCGCGTGAGTACAGGGGCAAAGACTGGAATTATGCGCAAGCCAGAGAACACCAGAGATTTCCAGCAACCAGAAGCTAGAAGTGGCATGGAACAAATTCTCTCTCAGAACCCCCAAAAGAAATCAATCCTGGTGATACTTTGATTGTAGACTTCTGGCCTCCAGAACTGTGGGAGAATACATTTTTGTTGTTTTAAGCTTCCAAGACTGTGGTATTTGTTGCAGCAGCCCTAGGAAACTGGTGTAGAGGACAATCGCATTTAAATACAGCATGTGGGTGTTAAGTTTACAGTAAAGAATATTCTGGCAGTGCAATAATAGAGTTTTCTTTTCTACAAATATACAGCCCCCCCCCCTTTTTTTTTACTGTGAAAATTGCTGAAGTTTGAATGAAGAGATGTGGATTCAAAAACCAACTCTGCTACTTATTAGATGTGGTCTTGGGCAAATTACTTAAGTTCCCTTCATGTTCTGATCTCCTTATTTATAAATTGGGAAAGATTAAAAAGTGAGCTCTATGGTTCAAAAATTCAAGATATTGGGCATCTAAGAAATTCCGGATAATAAGTTAATAGTGCTAATTTCCGTCTAAGATGATATTGAGCCAGTTTCTTCCAATGCAAAACTAAACTAAATTCATGGTTTTAGTCTTATTTAAAATAATTTCCTTAGAGACCTTTCATTATTGTTGCTCATGGAAATCAGATTAGGTATACTGATCACAGTACCACTGCTAGAAGTAATTCAAATTCTGCTTAAGATTTCCTAGGCTAATTTATGGATGTCTGAATAAAATTCAGTATTAATAGCACTGTAATGTTAAACAATATTTTGAAATTAGACTTATATAACACCTTGCCAATGATCCATATAATGTCATTTTTTTTTTTTTTTTTTTTTTTTTTTTTTTTTTTGAGACGGAGTCTCGCTCTGTGCCCAGACTGGAGTGCAGTGGCCGGATCTCAGCTCACTGCAAGCTCCGCCTCCCGGGTTTACGCCATTCTCCTGCCTCAGCCTCCCGAGTAGCTGGGATTACAGGCACCCGCCACCTTGCCCGGCTAGTTTTTTGTATTTTTTAGTAGAGACGGGGTTTCACCATGTTAGCCAGGATGGTCACCATCTCCTGACCTCGTGATCCGCCCATCTCGGCCTTCCAAAGTGCTGGGATTACAGGCTTGAGCCACCGCGCCCGGCCTCATATAATGTCATTTTTAATAGACTATTTTTTAGAGCAGATTTAGGTTCACAGCACATATAATGTTTTTAGAAACATTCATTGACTGAATTCTGGTTGTATAGATTGTAGTACAGTATTAGAAGTTCAAACATTTTGATTGTAGATTGGTTAAAAATAAGACTAAATAACATTATTTAACATGTTATATATCTTAATATTCATAAGGGACATGTCCTAAGGCTTTCCCGACTCCCCAGTATGTGACTATTACTCTAGGACAAAATTACTTTGTGGTAAATGGCCATACTTTTGCCTGTGAGTATTAAATCAGATGAGAAATAACAACAGCAAAGCTACATTCAGCTGCACATACCACGTGATCAGCTGACTAAACTTACTAATTTAGTTAACTGCAAGCAACAGCTTTACAGTTGCATAAAATTCACATTTGTGCTTTAGCAAAATAACATATTACTACCTGTCATGATAACCTTCAGAGTCATTTACAAATAGATACAGCCCAAATATTAAATCTGTAATGGTTACATTCTATGGAAATCCTGCTACCTGAAAACTTAATGAAAATTTTCATACATCATTGTACAACTTGAAAAAGAAGTAGTTGAAACTTGACAGCATGACCATTTTGAAAGCTGTTTGAATCTGATGGATTAAGGCCCATTTTAAATGAACTAAAATTTACTCTTTGGTATTTATGCCTTCAACACTCACTTTTAAAAATAGGCCTTTATTAAGACTTCTAAATAGATTGAAGCTCTTTCTCCCATTATTGAAGATAACAGATCTATCAATCTAAGAGAATGGATCATTAATATTATTTATGCTTGTATTCTTTTTATCCTAAAAAACGTGTGGATAATTTCTCACTTTAGTCTACAGGAAAGAATATAGTAACTCAATATATGTCTTTTTCTTTTCTTTTCTGTCTTTCTTTCTTTCTTTTCTTTTCTTTTTTTTTTTTTTTTTTTGAGACAGGTTCTCACTCTATTTCCCAGGCTGGATCCCGTGCAGTGGCACAATCTCGGCTCAAAGCAGCCTCAACCTCTTGGGCTCAAGTGATCTTCCCACCTCAGCCTCCCAAATAGCTGGGACCACAGGCATGTGCCACCACACCTGGCTCATCTGTTTATGTCTTTAGGAACATCAGTATTCATCTGAGGAGTCAGTGCCTCTCGGAAAGCTGCCAAAATAACTTGTAGGGTCACTTAAAAACTAATTAAGAAATCTTTACCCAGGAACATTAAGGGAGTTAAGATAAAATGTTCCCGATGCTGTCAGGTGAGTGTGCTTTTTATTTCCTTCTCTGAATATTTCTTTTTGGTCCCTGCTATAGCAAGGCGTATGCTGTTACTTGGTGGCACATTTTATTCAAATAGTATAAATGAGCAGAAAGGTGCCAAAGATGAATGTCCTGAGATTTATGATAGAATCTTCTCCGGAGAGAAGAGAATTGTACTCTTTGGTAGTTATGGTGACACTCTTCTTCTGTGAGATGAACTGGGAATGGGGCAAGAAACAGGTAGTATCAGTCAGTGATTTCTGATCAGATCCTATGCCTGGAGTTAGATGAATCTGAGCAGGGCAAGATCCTCTCAAAGATCTGACTTACTAAGAGCATGTCCAGACAAAAGTGATCCCCCAACCTGTAGTTTATAGTATTCCTAGAGCTCCACTCAAATTTGTACCCCCAAATGACGAATTGTACAATGGAATTCCACAGGAAGATTCAGATTACAATGCGTTGCTTAATTTGTATAACTGTGAATTTTCTACTTATTCTTTAAGGTCTTGTTTAAATCCCATGAATACTTCCCTGCTTATCTATCCCAGGGTGATATTTTCTTCATTTCAATTTCTAGTAGTCTTAATATGAATGGAATATTCAATGAAATATCACCAGGACACATAGTTCTTCTTTTAGATTTTAGTATCCAACAATATGGTAAAGCTACTTATTACAGAAACTGTCTTATATATTTACTTTGTATCATTCAGAATGCTAAGTTCCTGATTCATAATAGAGCTCAACATTATTTGGTTGATTAATTACTCTTTCTCTTTAGTTTTCATTCTCAGTGGGTTATTTTTCTATGATTTTACTATCTAGAAGAATTAACATTCCATTGGAAATTCTGATAATTGGGAAGATTATTTTTATAACTTGATAATTTTATTTCATAATTGATATTATGATACATAATTCTATACTTACAGAACCAAAAACAGTAGAAAACAGTTGTTTTTATAGTAATTCTAAAGTGAAAAAAATTTAAGTAATTTTATTTATTTATTTTTTATTGTTAGTTGACAAATTATGAATGTGATGTTATGGTAAATGTATGGAGAGAAAAGTTGACATGTCCCAACAAGTGATTATATTTCTTAATATATGAGGTATTTTATAATATGTTGGAATATACTATGAAAGTATTTAAGAAAAAGTGACTGTGTGTTTAAGTTAATTTTCATGAATATAACATGATTAGATTGACGAATGAAAACACATAAGACTTGACAGGGAATTTCTAGATTTGTATGACTGGGAACAGTTTTTAGAATTGGCAATAGACACTGGTGAATGTGCTTTTGGCAACTAGTATAATCATTTGAAAGCCAAGAAATATGTTTATCTTCTTTCTTAGGTAGTGGTCCTCCTTTTTTGCTACTGACAAATGAAGGTTGCGCTAGACTTTATTTTATTCTTTGAGTCATGGAATTGTTCTGTTGCCCAGGCTCGGATGCAGTGGTACAATCATGGCTCACTGCATCCTCTGACCTATCCCGGCCCAAGCAATCCTCCCACCGCAGCCTCCTGAGTAGCTAGGACCACAGGTGCGTGCCGCTATGCCAGGCTAATTTTTAAAATTTTTTGTAGAGATGGGTCTTCCTGTGTTGCTCAGGCTGGTCTTGAACTCCTAGCGTCAAGTGATCCTCCTTCCTTGACTTCCCAAACTACTGGGATTAGAGGCATGAACCACCATGCCTACCTGACTTTATTTTTTCTCTAACTGTTCATTAGGTAGCTTCCCTGAAACTGATCATAGCTTTCCAAGGTCTTGGTAAAAATTTAAATAGTTTTTCCCTTTCATTCTTTTTAAGGAAAATTCCACATATGTTTTTATGTTTTAAGAGTGATTGTCTATATGGAGACAATATTGATTATTTGTCACCTACCTGTACTTAAACTAATTTTTGTGAAATTAGTTCCCAAAATCACAAAATTAACACTTACCATATTAATCAATCAATAAAATATCTTCAAGGAGTTTCTAATTAAAAGTATTTAGATGACAGCAAATCTCAGTAAAAATTTTGGCAGCTTGCAATACAGTCAAAATGAGACTACATCAAAGCAGGGATCAAAATTTGAGATCATTTTTTAAAACCAAGCCAACCACACTAGTAGAAAGAGGTAAGAGGTTTATTTTTCATCAAGTGTTAAGAGGTTTCTATGCCCACAAAAAATTTATAGATATCATCTGATGGTATATATAAGTAGAACAGAGTATAAATTATATCATTTTTCCCATGATGATATATAGTTAGAACAACATTAATAGTGGTGAAAAGGAGGTGGAAGAATGCAGTTCTGATGTTTCTGCCCTTCATAACCATGCCAAATCATTTTAATATGCATATGAACATGAAATCATCTGCATTTGTAATCCTTATCTGCTGTGGAACTCCATTTATGCTTTTTCAACTAGCAGTCTAGAGCAATAGCACTTTCTTTGACGCAATATGTTTAAATCCAGATTTCTCACCTTCATCCTTATGATATACTTTCAGGCAAGTTCAACCTCTCTACTCTCCTCTGACATTAATTTTATGTTTATTTTTCTAATCAACTGGGCTTGAAACCTTGAAATAATCACAGATTTCTTACCCTCAAAGAAGCTGTAACAAAGTTCTAATGAAAATTTCTAAAATATATTATTCCTATGGTCAATACTACAATACAGATTCTTAACATTTCTGGTTATATTATTTCAATGTCTTCTAAACTAGACCAATTTTTCCTAGAGATGGTGTTCTCTTGCTTCTGATTCATGCTAAATTGGCTACTATATAAATTTTTAAAAATTGTATTTACATATATCATTTTCCTGAAACAAACACACAAATATCATCTTGCCTGTGGCATGAAGTTCACCTTTTCTTAGCTTTGGCATGCAAGGTTCTGAACACCCTGACCTCAGTCCCTTTCCCTCCTCCCATCCTTTTTTTCTCTCCATTTCCTCCCTTCCCTCATTCCTCCCTTCTGCCTTTCCTCTCTTTTTCTTTCATTCTAAAAATAGAAAACACAGATAGAGAAGGATATCATTCATAAATGTACAACATAATGAATTATCACAAAATGAACACACCACTCAGGTAAAGAAGTGGAAAGCTAAAGCATGATAAATTTTGGGGTGCAGAGCCCATATTTCTTATGATCTTTACTACTCTATATTGGCTGTCAATAGATTTCTGGCCTTCTTAAAATTCTTACTATGATTTTAGTGTAAATTTATACAAGTTTATAGTGTTCATTCCTAAAAGCAATAGAAAAAAATCAAAATAAACCAAAAAGCCTGAATTTTGAGCTTGTTTTCTTGCCAAAGTTTGAAAACCTTTCTCATTAAAAAAAAGTGCAAAATAGTTTTGTAATTCTACTGAATCTTTGGCAAATTCAGTTAAGGCACATTTTTGAGCAGTGCAGTGAGTGTAGTTTTGACTACTGTATATGCAAACTCTTATCCTTTTCTTATATGCCTTTCTTGTAGACGGCATAGGGTTACAGAAAGGGCTAGTGGTGAATGATGCTACGTTTCTGTTTCTTGTCTTCTATTTCTCAGTCCCTAATACCAAAGTCTCCTGCAGACATCTGAGATACTTCTTTTGGAGTTTAAACTGGCATATTTTGGTTCCACATTGAAGTTCCTGACAAAATTTGACCTCGTATTAGTACTTCAACAATGGATAATTATGGTCTGAGGCACTTCATCTATGAATCAAAGTCGGTAGAGGGAGTATTTCCTGCAACGACATGCAGCAATTGACTGAAATAGTTCTACCAGTTTGGAGTGTAAAAGTAGAAAATATGATGCTGCTATTACATTGCTAAGCAAGCAGAAGGATATTCAACAAGGAACTGTATATATATTTAAGTGCTCATGACTACAAGCCTATACCTATCGAAAGACGAGCCCTGTATCCAGAACAGTGATGAGCACATATTCTGTACTAAGTATCGTTTGAATGAATTTTTTTATATGTGTTTGTACCCGACAGAGATTTTATATGCAAAAATCAAAAAAAGAAAATCCTCTATGTCTTTTTATACTTTACTTTTTAAAAAAAATACAACACCTGGATTGTTGTAGAGCATATTAGTTAAAATTCTATTTATAATCCCTTGATTCATTATATTACTTATACATTACATATATAATATATAGTATCATAATTAGCATGGCTTGGAAATATATGCTCATTTTGCTGCTTCTTCTCTTTCTTACCTTTTTGTTTTTCACATACAAGAAGGAGGGTCATATATTTATGTTATCTCTTTACTCTAATCATGATTACTATGGTTCTATTCCTGCCTAGATACACATTATATTCCAAGCCCAGCTATTGCCTTGTTTGCATGTTTCTTGAAGAAGGCATTGTAACTTTAACCAAGCAGCCCGTATTCTGTATCTATGTTTTTCTAGGTTATTGTCCAAGGTGTGGGCTAGATAACTTTTAAGAAAGTCATTTCTAGAGTCCCTCTGAGTGGTCTCCAGAAATCACGGATTTAGCTTTTGGAAGTTGATATGAAACTACAGTTAAGCGGGTGATGAGCATGAATGACCTCTGGCAAAATTGCAAAGCAACTTTCTTCTCTATTCATAAGTACTATGTAAAACAAATATTACATATATAATGAGTATGTATCATATTGCATTTCAAAATTAAACATGTTGATCCTATTTTTTTCCCCACATAGGGCATAATTATCTTTGAGAAACTATTAAAAATTAGGGAAAAGGGTATCCTTTAACAGAATTGTGTGACAACACATTGCAGTGTGCACTAATGTCTCTCCCCAGTTCCCAGTGTTACATTTCCTTCTCTACTTTCTATGATTCTTGGCTCTTTTTCTGCTAGACCCCTTCAAATATCTGCTCAAGGGTATCAAGGCCTTGGTCACATTTTCTTTCACTAATTCTCCTCTTAAAAGGTCCACTGATGCTAAATTCAGTTATGTGGAATATACCAAACCCATTAATTATAATTAGAGAAATCCTGGG